TACCTCATGCACTGGCCTTTTGGTTTGAAGGTATAGTAACAGCAATGCCCTTGGCTTTGTTTCTTGTGACTACTGCTTTTGGGGAGCTATGTGGCTTTACAGCCCAACAATTGCTCTGGCTGAGAAAGGCAATCAGTGTCTCTTGTGTGTACCAGCACTGTTCTGGTGCTCAGCTTTACTCTGGCCACATGAGCCAGCCTATTGATCTCTGTCCCTGAGACTGCTGGTTGCATGCCCCTTTGATCCTGGGAATGATGGTCTGAAAACTAGGGGCAGATATCCTAGCTGCAAGCATATGATAGGCTGCTTTCTCCTATGAATCTGTGTATGCTCACTGAAAATCAGCCCTTGCTGGAAGGTGGGCTGCACTTTGCTGCCTGTCAGAAATCTTCCTCTGTGTGTTACAGAATCACAGAGCAAGAGAAAATATTTCTGTTTTCCATTTCTCTCTCTAATCCCCAAGTCTTTAATACAGTACAGATTGATTTGACTTTGTCTCTGAGAGCCTTCGTGTTGTTCCAAGGAGACAGGAATTCCAAAGGTGAAACTTCTTGGGGAGCCTAAACTCTTCCACTGATTAGTGAAGGAGTTGATGTCTCAGTTTGACTAGTTCTAGTCTTAACCTTTCCTTCCTGCTACAGTCTGATCAGTCTCCATCCTACCTGTTGCTTTTGAGATGCTCACCTTATTTCATACTCTTTCAGCTTCACATTAACAAAGCTGTGAAAATGAAGCTGTCTCATGGTGACAGTACCAAACAGCTGTTAAACACAGTTCAGTCTTGGTGTCTTTTCATAACTTGTACGTAAAGGCTCTTCTAATTTTCCTAGTATTAGCGGCTTTACCCTGAGCTTTGTCATAGAAGAACTGACACCGCATGTAACATGTCTTTTTAGCAGATCTGGTGGCATATAGACCAAAGCTACATGTTGCCAGTACCTAAGTCCCCTGATGCTCTTCTGGAAAAAGAACAAAATGGTTCTTCCTAAGTGGGCACAAAAGAACAATACATGAAGTGAACATGTGTGAGACTGGAGGCTATAGTTGAGTGATGCATTTCCCTGTACATGTTTGGGCGAGTCATCACTTTGAGGGGTCCAGCAGAAAAACCTGTCTTTATGGCAGTGGTCACTGGCAGAAATGCCTTAAATTCCTCCTGTTCCTCAGGAAGGAATGACAGAATGTAGACAAGAATTAGTGTTCTTGCCTGCACAAGAAGTTTAAGCTGTCGTGGTTGTGAGCTCTCATGGTATTAAGTGAATTTCTCAACAGATTTTCAAGCATTTTCTTTCTCCCTGACAGGCAGGAGAGGAGCTCTTTCCCACAGATGACAAAGGCATGTCAATACCCAGCAACACAGATATTCTGCATACATGGGAGGTAAGTTCAGCCACAGCGGGAGAATCATGTCTTCTGTCCTCAGCAGTCACAGAATGGCTCATGCATGTATGCAGAATTAGTTGAAAGGAATTCACAGAAGTATGTGGCAGCTGCTTTGACAGCAGTATGTAGCATGCTTACTCAAGCTATTATTGCTGTTCACTGTGGAGTAGCATCTCAAGTCACTGAGCTGCACAGTCACTTTCAGTGGAGCTGCAGACCAGACTGAGGTTAGAAAAAATTATTTACTTGATCATAACTGTGTGATTTTTCTTCACCACAGTTTTCATGCAGTTCTTGAACTGCTGAAACCAATTTTGCAAAGATAGACAATCAAGTTGTGATCCTGTCATCCTCCCAAGGCGTAGCCCTCCAGTGCTGTGATGGTAGTGACTTAGAGTTGTCTTTTCCTTGTGTAACTCAGTGAATTTCAGTCCCAACAATGATTTTGGGCTTTGGTGTGATAAAGACATGGCACAGATACTACTGGTCCCCCCTTCCTCTTGAGAATCAAAAATTTGGCAAGTCCAAACAGTTATTTTTGTGCTTCCCATGAAGGGAAACAAGCCACCTCAGGGAAAAAATGTGCTCAGGCCCTGTCTTGTACAGTGGATGTTGACTTTGTTCCCCTTTGTGTTAGGCCATGGAAGAGCTGGTGGATGCTGGTCTGGTAAAAGCCATTGGTATCTCCAACTTTAACCGTGAGCAGACTGAAAGAATCCTGAACAAACCGGGACTGAAACACAAGCCTGCCAATAACCAGGTAAGCTGAAAAGTGACTGCAGGTGAATAGTTTTCAGGAATTACAAAGATCTGATTACAGTGAAATGAGGAAATGGAAAAAGGGAGAACTAAGTAGATAACAGCATATGCTCTAAATCCCACTATGTGGATGTTTCTTGGTACAAAAAGGACTGGAATATTGCCTTTGTCTCACCTTGCTGAACTGCTGTTTACAAATTCTGGAGTATTTCCTATGAAGCATTCTCTCTGGAGGGATAAAGAATCCAGACATGAGCTATCATTCTGACTGTAATCAATGACTCTTTATAAAGCCTCTTGGAACAAAATCCAAAAAGCATATAAGGACTCATTATAAAAGTTGGTGCCCTATAGAACTAGTCTTCTATGGTCACATAGACCACATGCAGGGTAGGATTAAGGCAGCCTGTAATTAAAAAAAATTAAGATTCAGAAGAAAATCTCTGGAGCATGGAAACACTACAGTAGTTCTACACAGTCTCTACTCCTGTGTTGGCAGATCGAGTGTCATCCATACCTTTCCCAGGAAAAGCTTATCAACTATTGCCAATCCAAAGGGATCACTGTGACAGCATATTGTCCTCTTGGGCGCCCTGACAGGTAATTTCCAAGTGGGTTAGTGTGGTTTAAGTTTGAAGCTTTCAGACTAATTGAATGAGTAATGGTGCAGGTGTGTGTGCACACTTTTTAATATAAGTATACTAGGTAGACTCTTTGCAGAGATTCTTTGCCATTTCTTCCTTTTTGTCTCTGTGTAGGGCTAAACCAGAGGAGCCTTCCCTTCTGGATGACCCCAAGATCAAAGAGATTGCAGCCAAGCACAACAAAACCCCAGCACAGGTACATAGGTACCAGGCAGTGGGTACTCCTTGTAACACAGCCATTAAGGAAACTAGGCCTGAAGAGAAAGTATGGTCTCTATCAGAGTTTCCTGTGAACTGTGGTGCTCTTTTGTGGAATTAAGTAGCAATGCAGGTTGTCTACTATATGACCTGCAATATATACTTGAATACCTTTGGTCCTCAGCCAGAAAAAGATTCTTGACTCATCTTCAGATGTTACATCCTCTTGCAGAGAATGAAAGCCTTGCATAGACTGCTGGAAGTCCAGTTGGGAAGAAAAGGAACGGACTGTTCCAGAGCTGTATGGGAAAGGAAGCCTTTCATGTGGGCCTCTACCACTTCCCTTTTTGCTCTCCAGGAAGCATTACCTAGGCCACAGGGATGGGAACGATTTGAAATGCAGCTCTGCAGAAGTGGGTATAGCTTAGGGAAAACAGCCATTGGAATAGGCTCTGCTTCCTCCAGAGGAAGAGCTGTCTTCTCTGACTCAGTGGTCTGTTCCTGCAGGTTCTCCTTCGCTTCCAGATCCAGAGAAATGTGATTGCGATTCCCAAGTCTGTCACACCACAGCGCATTGTGGAGAACTTCAAGGTGAGTGACTATGAGTGAGCTGAGTGCTGCCCTGCAGGGATGACGTGGCTTCTCCCTGCAGAGCAAGGAGCAATCCTTTCTCACCATTGCCCAGGTCCTCCTCAGGCAAGAGGACTGGGCTTTTTCTCTCTGTCTGGAATCTAGGGCTACAATGAAAACTACATTTGGAGAAAAGAGATAGGCAGTGCTTTTATCAACATCCTGTTTCTAACCTTATTAGTCACCTTACATAGTGTCTCCTGTTCTGTAACTTGTGGATGAAGTGGCAAGCAGGGTTTGCTTGGAGCCCAAGTGCAGTAAAATTCCTCAAAATAGAGAGTAAGCAATACTAAAGGAAGAGTCCTGATATCAGTAAACCACATTGCTCCTCTGACTGTTAAGTCAGGGTTTTTTGCCTGATATTGGACATCAAGATTTCAGGAGTAACAGCTGGATTTATTGAAATATGAAAGTCTTCTAGATGTTTCTTTAGAGTTGGAGAGAAAATCTTCCACAAATAGAGGTGTTCTGTAACATTAAGTGCTCACAAACACGTTGGAGCAGCTGGCACATGTAACTGCAACTAGGGATTTTTTTTATTTGTTTCTTCCCTCTTCCAGTAGAGACTTGAAAATCCAGAGAGATTTATTTTGCTTTCCCTGTCTCACAAAGCCATCATTTCTAACTAGCATTTTCTGATGTGAACTTGTTCTTTAGTCTTGTGAATATTGCTTCTGATTTGATTTGTTCAGAGAGGTGATTTGCAGCTGTTTGTCGTTAGGTGTTTGACTTTGAATTGACCAAAGAGGAGATGGCAACACTTCTCAGCTTAAACAGAAACTGGAGGATCTGTGAAATGATCACGTAAGTGACACCTTGTTTTCTTCAAACTCATATTCTCAAAAATATTTATTGTAATCTCACAGGTACTAGTATAGCTGTTTAAATTGGGTATGTTTTGAAATCTGAAATCACTTGAGAGATGAAATATCTGTAACTTAACATCTTGGTGTTATAGCTCACTTTATTGACTAAAGAATGAGTACAGGTCATCCTATGTACTCATTGTGAGTCCTTTTTTCAGGGAACTTTGTCTGGAATTCCCAAAGGAAGCTTATAGTTAATAACTTTGGCTATGTCCATATTAGAGAAATGAGCATTAGGTGGTTTTAAACTTAACTCACAAAAAAAAAATTACCATTATAAACTGATGTCAGCTCTTACATAGGTGGTTGGGGGAAGTGCAGTATGAAGAATGACTGCTTGCAGATGTATATCTTGGAATCCTATAGCCAGACAAGAAGTGTTGGCTGAAAGGCCACAGAAACTACTGTTTCTCTGCAAGCAGTGTGAACTTTAACTCTTTATCTAGAAAGTAACTTGGTCACAACACTACTTGGTTTCTGAATAATAGGAATAGACTTGAACTTGTTGGTCATGTGTGCCACTTAGACACTAATAAGTCTCTTCATTCTGTAGTTACACAATTCAGAGCCTCCCTTGAAGGCTCCTCTCTACAGCCAGTGTAGTTCTAGGCAGCATTTATTTCAGCCTTGAGAATAATCTTTCCTCTTTGACTTCACTCAGGTGCAAAAATCACAAGGAGTACCCTTTCAATGCAGAATACTGAAGATACTTTTATCCTGTCCTCCTGCAGGCCTCTGGGGTCTAATGAGCTTCTACCACTGCCTAGAGTTGTCCACTATGTAGCTTGCACACTGTATCTCTCCTGCCAGCAAAGGCATAGTATATGTATTCAGTGACTTTAGGTTTTTCTTCTTTGGTGGAAGGAAATAGTAAAATTGTTCTAAAGAACAAAATATGGGCTATAATAATTCTCTACTCATCTAATGAGTGTCTCTGCATGGTTGAAATAGCAAAGCAGAAATCATGAAGAATGAATTAGCAACTGATATTTTTATCTTGTGTCTTGCATCAACATTACTTAAGGCTGCAGGGTAAGGGTATGTGAGCACAGAAGAAAGATTTACCCTGAAAGAATGAACTATATAATCACTGCCTGAAGATAAGAGACAATTACCTTTACTTCTAGAGCACAGCCCAAAGCTTTCTTGGAAAGAAGAGTAAATGGGAGAAATATCCACTACACATGCATACCAACTCATACTGGGCCTTATTTCAGTTGTATGTTTTTAAAGGCTGAAACTGGACAGAGATTAGTGTTCAATTTTATTCCTATCCAAAATAAAAAATGTTTAGATTACTACTGGTTTGGAAGTTCTAGTCTAATGTGAAAAAAATGACAAACCAAGCCACTTGGATTAACAATGTCATTGGAAACCATCATCCATATTCAATTTTAAATGATGTCACAGGACCATCAAGAACTTGTCTTGATCAAAAGTTGAATAACTTAGTATAATAAGCTTTGAGCTGTGCACTGCTGACAAGAAGACTCAGTCAAGTACGACAAGCCTTAGTATGGACTGTGGATTGACAAGCAACCAGGAGACCAGCACCTGAAAGAGCTGGAAAGCTGTACAGTGGTATCACTGTGGACTGATTTGGTTGGTAATGGTAAGTGGGACAGGTCTCTGTTAACTGTAACTGTATGTATGAGTAAAGCTTGCCCCTCACAAAGCCTATCCCTTGTGGTGGAGGATGCAGGTGAGCCTTATTGGGCAGTGCCAGGATAGCTAGGAGGTGTTTCAACAGCATGGCACTCTAGGGTCTGTGAGTGCAATGTGCCTTGGGCTGATGGACACAGGGCATCTGCAGTACAACTACTGCATTCTGATCTCTAAGATCCACACCAGATCAAGCTGTAGGGTCTGACAAGCATATGAAGTTTGAGTTGTATCTTGAGCAACTGGGTGGTCTGGAAACTTCCTTGTGAACAAGACAATTAACAAAAAACTGCTTTTTGTAAAGGTTAGTAGTATTAGGACCCAACGCTGACTGACAGCTTGTGCTGTACTAACCTCTATTGTAATTTAGTGTGCAACAAATGAATACACTTACAGAAACTTGAGCTACTTGCATTGTGCATCATTAGTTTGTAATTATGAGTGCATGTATGAAAGATGTTTGACAGATGACAAAGGTGGAGAGGCTGAGAGGTGGAATGTCACAGGAGCATCAAGGTCTTGCCTTGATCAGGAGTAGAATAACTGGATGTAATGAAGCATGGCTGACTAGCCAGTGAAAACAGGAATTGTGTGAGGAGTCTTGGTACATAAGAGCTATGGATGGTGGAACTGACAGGAGAACAATACCTGGAAGTGCTAGAAAGCTATATGGTGATAGTGTGGACTGATCTGATTGCCAGCCTGTGTTGACATATAGCTATAAAACTCATAATAAAAGAGACTATGGGAAACATCACTACACAGACATCCAAAATGATGAAGTCACAAGATGTAGTATTACGTGCCTGTGCTAAGCCACTGCCCAGAGCCTGACACTGAGGCAGGTCAGAGTCAAGTGATGTATTTCTCCCAGTTGAGACCACACTGAGTCACTGGAGTAGTAGATAAGGGATACATAATACTATACCTTGTGACTACTTCCAGGTATTCTTCTCCCTTCACATCCATAGCTCATATATACCAAGACTCTGTAACATTCCTTGACAGGTTATTCCTCCATTAGTCTACTTGAAAAATTCAGCTTAGCAGTCTCCCAGTGCCTGGTGCTCCCTTACCCCATGACAAATGGAAAAAGAACTTAGCCTCTATATGTGACTAAAAAGAAAGCAGCTTTTGTTTTCAAATGAAGTGTGAACAAAACTTGTGGTTTTGGCTTGAGTGTTGTGGTTATGAGAGGGACAGGACAATAGACCTCAGATACATTACAGCTTTAGGTGTTGTTAGTCTCACTTTTTCCAATGGGGGAGCAAACCACAATGTGCAATATTCTGCTCTGTACAGTGATATTGAGATCACATAAGATAATCTAACATATATACAAGTACCTAGAACATATCTAATATGCTTTTTCAGATGGAGGTCATCCAAATATTTCCAATCAAAACTTCCAAAAGAATGTAACATACAACCTCAAGATGAGGCAAAAAAAAAA